AACGAGAAGAAAACAGAGCGGGATGACTGCTTTGAGTCACAATAGTGAGAAACATTTGTGTTTAGGATTTCCGGACATAAACCATAACACAGGAATCCGCAGACCCATTTCTAACGAAGATTCTTGCAAGCTCCCACTCGATAGAAGCGCATGGCATGATACCACTATTGTGCCCTTGATAAATTACTGCGTCACTGTAACGGGAATTGCCCGGTCGTGTACACACAATTACTGAAGAATGCTTGATTCAACTGAAAGTCTCACCGCGTGTTGTTCGTTTTTAGCGGGCCGTTGACTTCCATAAAGAGGGGGAGGTGAAGTGTAACGGGGTTACACGTAATCTTGTATGAAAGGGAGGGTTGCACGACTGTACATAGGTGTGAATTACACAAGCTGGTGTAATCACACGGTGGTGTGGCTAACTTGAACTTAGAGTTTTAGATATTGGCCGCTCTGCCGCAACTATATACGGTTTCAATTTTGGAAAGAAGAGTCCCAATACCTTGGTTAAGATTTTCAGTTATCTTGGTGGTAACGAATTGCAATCGCTGCACTCGTACTGGTTCTTATAAAGAACGGAAGTTCGGTGGACTTGGCTCAGATTCGCTTAGCCTCCTTTAAGCAAAGAGCTACAGCAGCCCCGCTGCATGAAGTGACATTAAATATTATAGCCAATAGGGTTTTAACATTCTCAGCCTGATTAGTGCTTCCGATTCTAATACAACAGAAATGAATGGGACATACAACTATTCAGGGTGGGTAGTTAATTTTAAAAACACACTTGTATGTAGTCCAGACAACGTGTGTAGTGGGACCTGGACTGTTACACCTCTCTTACACAATGTACGCCTCCACTGGCATTGTAAACATCAGCGACATCTGTGATTCAGCAGTTCATCATTTTACAGAAAGTGCAGAACGATACCCATTTCTGCGTGCCGTTTACTGAGATCTCTTGAATGAAAGAGCGATGCTTCTTCTCGTACATGATCGGATATCACTCTCTCTAGATTTGTCCATTTAGAGAGGGGTCTATTTCCTGTCTCTAGCACCTAGCTTATCAGAATTCGCTGTGGAAGTCGGTTGTACTGCTGAAATACTGATCTAAATGTTCCCAAAGTGCGTCTCTAGGCCGGCGATAGAAGTTTTTAGCACGTGAACTGCCAACTGCGCTAGCCGATCGGCATCTGAAGATTAATGCTCAAGTGCGTCTTGTTATACGGATACATTGAAGCGAATAAACATCATTACTACCTCACAGAGATTGCAATCTTATTTAGCGTTGGCTGTCGAATTAATAACAATTGCCGTGCACATCACAGCGAAAGCTTTAGGTCTTCAGGCTTACATGAATAAAAGCAAAAATATTTTGCACGCTCCATCAAGAGTGAAATCGGGAGGCCTAGAATGATAAGGTGCTCATCTACTTCTCGTTAAAATATGACAATCATGGTCCAGCTTTAAATGATGCCTACATTACCATCTACAGTGAAGAAGCCATATGCACTGCATAGCGTGCAACACTACAGCACAGAATGCCTGATTGCGCTTGAGAGAGATACTTGATAAACTGTATAAAATTGCAGCTGATTGAAAAGACATTATGGTTCCGATGCTACAAGCATAAAATTAATAGACCCCACGAGGTTATATGACACATACAAAAGCAAAATCTATTGATTTTATATATTAAACCTCGAGTACACTGAGGTTGAAGTCGGGTGCACCGTGGGAAAATTAAACATGAAGTGTTCGGGGGAAGTTCCCGTAAACCACTTTAAAGTTTACTTTAGTCTGCACACATAAAATGAAAGATTTTAGGAGAATGCGTGTGGTATGTCTAGCGTTTCGCATGATCATTGCATTTGACTACCTTGAACGATTAAATAAAATTTGAAAGAAGATTCTTGCTTCATATGCTGCACACTACATGTTAAGGGAAATTATCCGTACTAAGAAGTACAAAATCATCGTTCATACGCAATTGCTTGTTCTTCTTTTCACTCTTATCTGTTTGCTCTTTTTGCAGGTTCTGTACATCCGCAATTGCATCATGAAAAAGTTGCACAGACTTCTCGCAAAACAGAACTCGACTTGTTGTGACTCGCGACAATGTCATGTCGTCTTAAGTTTTTATCGTTTCGAACTTTGCTTTAAGCTCTGTGATAGCATTTATGTCTGACCGAGGATTTTTGGCCAGAGCCCCTCCCCCAATCCAGGTTCTACCAGTGACGATGTCACTGTAGAATGAAGTCCAAAGGCTACATAAAATGAGGATTGTTCTGTCGAGACATGCGTAGAGTTGCCAAACGCAGAAAGTTCTAGAGGTAGAAACTCACTATACTCTCCGAAACACATCGCGTAGCTGAGTAACACGTCTTCCAGGACACGATTTTGATCGTCTGTCTACCGCTGACATGAATATTTTTGAATCCAAGGTAAATGGCCTGATATATCAGAATTTATGGTAAACCAAGGTCACTGTATGATAAAATCTATGATGGCAGATTATACAGACAATACACCACGTCTAAAAGGCCTTTCGCCGTTATTTTTGCCAAAGCTTGTCCGAGGCCGAAGTAAGATGCTACATCTCACTGAATCGCCCTACAAAAAACAGGATGCCATTCTTGCCCTTTTGTCTATCGGAAGACCAGATACAAATTTGGCACAGTTTACAGATACGCACTAATTTGCGATCTCACTTATACAAACATGTCCAGTTATATTTTCGAGATAAATAGAGAAAAGTTTTCATTGCTCGAGGCATTGCGATACATATACAAGCTTCTATGACAAAATTCTTTTTTGTTATCTACGCTTGATTCCCTTCGACAACTGAGTGGAAACATAGCCTATTTTTATATGCTGTAACGATGTACTATCGATTAAGATTTCGGTTGGAGACTCTGGAGTACTTTATCCGTAAGGCTTTTGAAAAATTTATTCAATTGGTATGTTTTATCTTGCTTGTAGTCTTTAAGTATTTATTCTTGAAAAGTACTTGTCATTCCTGCAGCAATTCCATCGACGTCTTCAGCGAAGCGACAAGCAGTTTGTGCGACTCTTTTTCTTCGGATCATAATTCAGATGTCCAGATAGAGCATCGGCACGAAATTTTGATTTCGGGCTTAAAGGTAACAGCAAAGTGGCTCTCAGCAAAAAAAGCCATCCGGCCATTCTTTGCAGTTGGTAAGGTGTTTTCATAGCTGTGCGTAGCGATGCGTGATCAGCGTACATACCAGACTACTCCTCACTAGGCAAAAAGACTGAACATTTTTCAGAGCGTACAACGTTTTTTGTCCTCATCATAGTATTGCATAAGTGCACACCCAACGGCCTATTTACTCGCATCGCACACCATATGGATAGCTTTTTGTTCTCTGCGAGAGCTAGGACAGCAGTTTTAATGAAGCTTCCCAAATCACTAGCGTTGGTGCACGGTTAGCGACACCAGGCCTATGCTCTAAAATGCATTAAAGTTCTCCTTAATTTCTTGATATATCGATCGCCTGGTGCATCGTTAACTGTATGTGGACCGACTGATACGTACCGCAGTCTCATATTCGAATCACTTCACACACACAAATTTAAAAGAAATCATCTTGCTAATTGATAGTGCCAATGACGATGCTGCTAACCATCCCATCAAGGATCTCGTTGAACGGGTTGCTCAGCAGGTATGGTCCCACTGATGAATTTGTTAGAATCTTGAACAATGCACCAGCTACCTATGGCTTTTTAAGACATAAGGTGGGACTACAGTGCGGAGAATTGCGCTCACGCACATGACCACCCTTTTATAGTTTCGCAAGAAAATCATCGACCGCATAAGCTGCGCCGACTAGCTCCTGTCATTGGCTTGTGGTACACTTATACGTTCACAAAAGTACATCGATCATGTGACGAATGCGTCCGTCCTGGGACAATTTGCTCGATCCATCGTCGAAAAATACGTCAACAAGTTCCTTAAAAAGTCCATACACGGGGTGTGCTCTCATAGCGTCTCACGACGCAACAAAGCTTTTATCCATGTGTTTTAGATGTCAACATATTACTTGATACGTCCACTCACGGTTTGACCTTTGAGGGTCTCACGACAGCTCATCAAAGCTTTTCTCTCAAATCTTCCCATCCAATACTTCGACAGTGTTAATGCTATCATAAGAAGCCTCTTCGACGATTCTATTTATTTTCCAGAGTCCGATCTTCGTCAGGCTACGCGTGAGCGGCTTTTTACTTATTACGGCAAGAAAATTTGGTTTTGAACCAGATTTGTAAAATTTTAAACTTGCACGAGACACACTGTCTTAAAGTCATCATCTTCATTGTACACTTAAAACGAACCAATTCAACAGGATATACGAGAATCGTCATCTTAATTTTTTGGATTATTTGTATTTTGCCCACGGATGCTTGCAGATCATCGCTCTTTTTACTAGTCCTCTTATTTTCTTTTCATCCGCCAGAGCAAAACTCAAATTCTCTATCGACCACAGGAGTAGCATATCTCTGTAGTAGTCCTCACGGACCGGTAATTTGAGTTAATGCGGCTATTGCACGATTCTTATGAAATACAGCTACGACAGATGTATATGCCCAAATCAGCTCTCAATCTGCAAAGTAAGCGCTGTTTCATTGCCTTGTATGTGGAGTTAGTTTTCGTATTCTTCTACTTCCTCTTCTTCTGACAGTCAGCACCCGTTAGCATTTTATCAAACCAGGACATTTATAGAACCAGTTTGGACTTGTCATCGAGGCCGAGTGCATTAAGTTCATCGTCCTTTTGGAAGGCTTCGCATTTGATTGCTATATGCAACATGCGCTTAGGCATCGTCACTTTTAATTCATTCGCCTAGCAAACAAAAATGTCCTCATTTAGAATAGACAGGTCTAGACCTTGCCCTTTCACAATTGTGATTGGACAAAGATGTTCGACGCACCAGTGTCTATATAAGCCTGTAACGATTCTGAATAACCGTCATTCTTGACCTCATGGACTACCGTGACTGGCTCTTGCACGACACACTCACATTTGCACATTGGTCATATCGGGGCAAGACATACACACTTCCAAAACATTCACGGAACTCGATGTTCGTCAAGTACAAAAGCACACCACTGCTAGACGTGTCCACTTTCTGACTGTCAGAAAAGCTCGATTCATCGGCCATTGCTTTATCGATTTGACCACGAAGCATGACACACCCGCGGACCATTGGATGATGTTTTTTGTCTTCTTGTTGGACGAACGATGAATTGCTTGCTGCTAAATGCTTCATGCATCGCACGCTCTATAGCTTTGTCCAACGTCTTCGGATATCTGCAATACATTTGGTTTCGAATCGGATTGTAGTCTAGCTCTGCCATGAAAGTAAGAGCTCTTGCTGAGAATTCAAGTGGCTGGCTGGCGATATTCAAAACCAGATGACGCGCTCGTTGTGCCTACGCTATCTACCCTGGCGAAGTTAAAGGGAGTCCAAAGCCAGATAAATGTTACTCTGCAGAGACTCAGAATACCTCTTCAGCTCTCACCTGAAGCCGTCCAGGTCGAAGAAGCAACTTTACTTGGACAAACGCTTTGCTTGACCATAAGATAAATCATCTAGGATAACTGGGTCCACGAGCTGTCTCACATCAGTGACTACATCCAACGTTACAAATCGTCTCGCCATAACTTTTTACTCTTCAACGATACGATATATGCCGATCTTCAGGCAAGGATTTCTTATTGTCATCAAACGAATTGTGGGCTGTCAGCAAGATCTCAACGTCTCGAAATGTATAAAGCTCGTACACGCATTCCTATGCTCGTCAGTGACGCTGATACAAGCAAGCTGATCACAGCCGCGTCACCGACAAAAAAAACGCATACGCTTAAGGGCTTCTCACTCGTGGTGTATCAAATGCTCATTCAGCATCCCATTTGTCTTTCCAGGAGCTAGACCCGTCAGCGTGTCGATCTCTTCCATTATATCTCACAGTCGAGTAGGGTCTTGGAATATTCGCGTACGCTACAAAAAAGGCATATGGAGACTTCAAAGACCTACCAGATATGAGGCCATCCTAGGTAGCCACCGATACGGCTCACACGCTTACCCATCGTTCAATGGATAACGTGCCACTCCTTGCGCATCAGAAGCGCCTTGCCACAGATGCCTTGGACCTCGTCCGACAATGCCGCTCCTGGCATGCAGCGACTGCTTTGAAACGTGAGCAGTGCTCAGTAGATAAAGTGCCACTCCACGGAGCTTCGCCCTCGATGCCTCGGACCACGTCCGACCATGTCGCTCGTGGCATGCAGCGACTGCTTCGAAATGTGAGCAGCGCTGAGTGGGTTACGTGCCACACCTAGTGCATCACTGAGATCTCCCCCTCGATGCCTCGGCCCTTGGCCGACCATGCCAAGCAAGGCATGCAGCGACTGCTCCGATACTTGAACGGCGCTCAGCGGTCTACGTGCCACTCCACCTTCAGCTTGTGAGTCATGCATGGGACTCCTGTCCGATACACCTTCGGTGTTCATCAACTCGGATACTTCGGTCTCCAGCACGTTGACCGTCTCTGTCCCGTGCCGGCGCCAATAGCGTTGTTGCCTCCAGGCAAAGGCGGGTTCATGACTCACTGCAGCTCCACCAGGAAACGTGCGCGTAGCGTCCAAGATTGTCGACCTCCAGTCGATCCATGGCTCATGGTATTCCAGCCATGACATACCAAGGATGTGGTCATATCTTGAATCCAAGTCTAAGCCTAAGTAGCGTTCCACGCTATCAAAGTCAAGAAACTTGATACCGAGGTCCACAGGGACCTCCGCCACCGTATCACATGTCCCCGTTGCTAAGTGAACAGTGACGATGTCACTCAACCGCGCTTTCAGCACTCCAGCAGACAGCTAACTTCCTTCAATCGTGGAGCGTCGATCATAATCAACGTCCCGGAATTGATTAGAATTTCTATAGCATCTCAAACTCCTTTACGGTCGCTTCTATAATAAGCAATCTCGGCTTCCACACACTTTCCGTATTCAAGAGCACGGAGCTCTATGGGGCTGGGTCCTGCTGCCCTCTACCTCGTTGAGGCACATTTGAACCCAGTTCTTTCCCAGTAGGGCCAACTGGAATTTCTCGTTTCCCAGCAACAGACCATACTGGTTAGATGTAGGACGTCGCTTTGATGAGCTTTGACGCGCCACGCGCACGGGACAACCAGTGCGAAGGTGACAAGGGTCTCCATAGACGGAGCACCGTCGGATGTTCGAACGCTGCACGGCAACTCGGAGCTCTGCCTTCTCGTTCTCAGGATAGCTACAATCCATCGGCTCAGGCCCGCTGCTAGAGTGTGCATTCCAACCAAGCCACGCCGACTTAAAGTTGAAATCGGCATTTAATACCACATTCACTGCTTTATCAAAAAAACTGGCGCAAATGGAAGATTTCCGTTTTGGCCACGCCAGTGCGGAGGCCTTCCAAAAAGACGCTCACTGTGATCGCCTCTATGAGAGTACGTAACTCGCATACAACCACCAGCTTCTTCTTGTTCTGTCGGGTGGCAAGGAAACGCGACCACACGCGATATGCCTGGTTAGGCGGCGAGAACAGTCGTGGAAGCTACAGCTTCAGCTCCCTCCAGGAGGAAAAACGCCGCTTTGACTTAAATACCGCACGTCGGTATCCACTCTTGCGCTCGAACGTCAAGCTCGGAGATAACTAGCGCCACGCGCTGTTGCTCGGTCTGGAACACGGCTGACGCCATGACCAATCTCGAGTTATCTCACCAAGAGCAGGAGGCATATTGCCCTTGAAAATTCTAACGCTTACCATGAGCGGATTGGGTCGAGGAGAGACATCCGTCGTCGACGGTGGCGTGATAAATGCAGTCGATGCCGACATTGTCTGCTGTAGGTGCTCTAGCAGAGCATTTTCACAGCTCTAAAAAGCCTCTCGGCGCGCGCTGATCGCTTTAGGTCCTCGAAGCGAGGTGTTGCACGTCCCCAGGGTCAAGCAGAGACATCAGCTTTTTAAGCCCATTCTGCTGCTTTGGAACAAATAAGAGAGCGGCTCTATCCTCACAGAGGGGGAGTCGTAATGACTCAGTTGTAGATTCACTACAAGTGCTACCAAGTGCAGCGGGCTGTCTAAGCTCTTTCGCTTAAATAAAGCTTGGTTAAGGTCGGTGACCTTTGCTCTATACTTAGAGCCAATACGAGTGTAGCGCATTGCAATCCACTAACTCGAAGAGTAATTACATCCTTAATCCAAGGCTAATTCAATCTTCCGTATAGAAGCTAACTTGTATTTCTCAGTTTGATTTTTTGGCAAAGCCGCTTCTACCGAAATCTATAGGTTATTCTATTCAGTTGAATGTATAACTACTGGCAGTCCAGCCACATTCTAACTTCTTATTCAAGTGTAGCCACAACATTGTGAGGTCATACTATCTTGTGTGACCTACACCCTTCATACCGGACCCCGTCACCTATGCTTACAACGTTTAATTTGTTGAAAGCGTGTACAACGCGCCAACCACTTGTGGCTTCCTTCATCCATACCATTCAACTAAAAACGGAGACTTACTTTCACGTACATGACCAGCCTTCTGTCGCTGCTCCAAAAACTCGTCAATCGCAATGACTTGTTTTTTGGCTGCGGTCACTGCCGTGTGATACAATACGTCGTACCAGGAAGTATGTCAATCTCATGAGGAATACCTCTGTCATATGGTATTTTGTTCGACACCTTGTCGGGACTCTATCAGCATAGTCCTTGCAAATTCCATACACGCGGTTTGGGCTTAAGGCGTCCCACGACTGCATTTCAAACCATTCCGTCCAAGTCTTCTCATTTGATACTTCCGCAGTATTGATGTCATCGTCGATAATTTTTCTTCGACGATCGCACATATTAGCGATATTTTACCTTTCGCCAGGCTACGCTTCAGCGTCGAGTTACTCATTAACGGCAAGAAAAAAAAATTGTTGACTGAACTTTGAAGATTTTTATCTTCACGTGACGGATTTTTAAAATAGACGTCACCTTCTTCGTTGTAGGCCACAACATTTACAAACTCACTCGAAGTGTCTTGTTCTTCAGCACTTTCTACGTCAATACAGCTTGTACCTTGATCAGGAGCATGCTGAATATTTGAAGGAAAAACTCCTCTTTATGGTATTCTTATCCTTCTCTCAGGATTGGTCTTTGCCTCTGATCTCACTATTCTTCATACTACTATCGACCATGACTTCCATGTCGATTGCAAAGGGGATGACCTCTCTCTGGCACCTAACTGCTCCACCTTTAGTTGTTGTCGTCACTTTTGTCTTATTAGACTTGTCTAGGCTGTAATATGAACATGGGGGGACATTGCACACTGCAATATCACTTGAGACATCTGTGACTTTTTCAACAGATGCATATGCCCATACCATTTCTTTCGTCGCCATGCAGCTCGCTATTGTGCTGCACGACTTGTTGATGACAATTATCATATTCATCCAGTCAACGCTAGGCTGATAACGCTCCAGCCATGACATACCTAGATAATATCAATCTTCTTATCGAGATCGAATCGTCTTCACCTCAAAAATCCTCAATTTTCATTGATAGCGAATAACTTGCTTTGGCATCATCATTCTTAATCTATTCGCAAAATGAATGATAATATCTCCTTTCACCAACACCATGCTCTCTCATGATTGCGCTTAAAAAAATTATTCGATGCCAGTGTCAATTAAAGCTCGTAGTGCGTTCTTAAAACAGTCTACAAAGACTTTCTGGACAATTAAAGTCGCATCTTGCCTGACACTTTCATAACTCAAAGTGAAAGCGGCATGTACATATTGCACGTTAAAACTAGAAATATATTTTTCACACCATCCACAGATCCCTTCGGGGGCCCAGTAGGGAGTTCCGTCCCTACTGATCGTTCCCGTTGTCTTATTCTTTTGAGCCGACGACCTATAGAGCAGTTACCCTGTGTCTAGACGTTCTTCGCAGCGTCTGCACTGAGACGCCAAAGCGCTGAAGCGCCATGCTACCACTCTTAACGTATGCTCGGAGCAATACAGTGCACTCATCTACCGACTACACGCTGTTCGACGTGAACAGGCTTGTTAATCCTCGCGTCTCGTTCTTTTAAGTGATAAGAAGAAAAGAACTCGGCAAAGAACTCTGCAGTTCCCGGCAATACGACCCGACTTTCCACAACGGAAACACTTTCCATCGTTGCAAGGACGATCCTTTCCAGGCGTGGAAATGTACGCAATGTTTATTGGCTCTGCACCACCACTTGTACCGGTCGACTGGCGCGCTTGCCTTGGTACGAAGCCATTGAACTTAACCTGCTCGATGCTGAACTCTTCTTTCATCGCTCGGTTGATGGCATTGTCTAGCGCCTTGGGATACTCACGAAACAGTTTGGACCATCAATCAAGCCTGTCATGAGCGTTACAACTTGCGCTGAATCGTTAATTGTATCGTCGACAATAATCAGTACCAACTAGCGAGCACGCTGTGCATACGAGTGTAGGTTGTCACAACCTTGGCGAAGCTTCAAAAAGTAAGGAGCTCGCTCTGTGGTGGTTTAAAGCCTTCTTTTGCTTGATCTTGAGGTGATCGTATTTTGGAAAGCAGTCTAGATCGGCTAAACGCTTTCCAGATACACAACTCTTTGATCGACCCGCAAAGTTGGACATCGCTAACCACAATTGCTGCAAGGGGTCACGTAGTTGTCTTGCAGTGATTGCAACATCCATCCCGAAAAACATGGTGAGAGAGGCTGATTCTTCCCACCACGGTACGAGACACGTTCGGTTTCAAACGCATCGTTCTGTACGAAAAAAAAACCGGGGTTATGACCTGCTTCCGAGATTCCATATTCTCATGATGCATGAAACTGATGTCCACATTTTTTTGATCATCCGGAAAGGAGGACTGCAGTAAACTGACTACATAAGCTTTTCCGATGACTTCTCGCATCCGCTCGAGTGCCATCCACTCATGTGAGGACAAATGAGAAAACATATCAATTCTCAACACCTTACTTTGCGGTACTGATGGACCTAGTGATACACCAACTCTTTCTATGTCTCTCGGACTAGGACAAGAGTATGGCTTGGATTTGTAATGCGCGACGTGCTCAATAGCCGCGTCGTCAAACCAAAATCGAGTGTCGTTGAAAAGACCGCTTGAAGTGCTTTTAGGTGTAAGAGATCGCTATTTACAAACAGCCCCTCAAACATAACACACACGCTTTCCGACATGGATAGAGAAGGACAGTCCTGACTTGGGGAAGAAGAACGAATTTGCAATTAAGTTGAATATGAGTTATGATTTTGAGCTACATACAAAACAGTTTAAGGGCTCCAAGAAGTTTTTCTGATGAAACATTAAGTTTCTGATTTATAGATCAAAGATGTAACGGGGTTACACGTACCCTGGTAATAGGGGTGTGTGTCACATGAGATAGGCATAGTGTGACTGCACCCCAATATGAATACGGTATGTGGCTAGGTAGCCAGTAGTTATGCATATGTTTAGATTTTACTATTTACATTTAGAAATCTCTACACTTAAAATTTATATTTATAAATAAATATTTAAACGGAAGAGTTGATTAGTCTTAGGTTAAGGCCTTAATTACCTTGGAGTAAGCGGATTGCGATCCGCTAAACTCGTACTTGTTTTAAGTATAGAACGAAAGGTCGGTGACCTAACTTACGCTTCCTCAAAGAGCAAAGCTACGGCAGCCCCACTGCACTTGGTAGCACTTGTAGTCAATCTACACCTCAGTCGTTTAGACTGATTCTCTGTGAGGATGGAAGATTTGCCCG